CAAATGGTGTGGCTCAGGGGGAGCACCTGGAGCTCTGCTTCAGCTGCTCTTTTATGCTCTCCTCTCTCCCTCCCCTCTGTTTCAGACTTTGTTCCCATTGATCTGGAAGAGTGGTGGGCACAGCAATTTCTGGCCAAAATCGAAAACTGCTCATAAAAGGGAAGAAAGGTTTGGGTTTGGTTTTTAAAGAGAAACAAAGCTGAGAGCATCTGCTCAGAACCCAGAACTGGTGGCATTTTAGAACCACATTTTTAAAAGATGACCGAAACCAAGTGACCCACGCTGCCAGCCCAGCGGGACCGGACCACAGCCATGCCCCCTCCCTGCGCCCGGTGTGGAGGAGCAGCGTGCAGCCCCAGCCAGGATTCCTTAAGTGCCAGTTCTTGGATCGCTGCAGCTCCTGCAGCCTCCAGCTCCCAGGGACACTGCGGTGCTGTGCTGGGGACAGGGGAGCAGCTCCCTGTGCTGCAGCCGTAGCCACGGGGAGGACAGCGGGGTGCTGTAGCAGACCTGCCAGGCAATAAAGCGCTGAAACTGCCAGTGGAGAGGCGCTTGCGGGATGGGGAGGATGTCTCTGCAGGAGGTGGTGAAGCAGCTGGGGTGCAGCATCATGCCCTGGGCTGGAGTGGAGCGGGGCCTCCCTGCGGAGGGGGGATCCTCACGGCAGAGTCCTTGCTCTGGAGGCAAAGGGCTTGGAGCATCTCCCTGTCTTTCTTGGAGCTGCATCCTTGCCCCAGCACTGCCTCATCTCCCTGGGCTCAGCTGGGGGCTGGTGCTTGCCTTGGGTGTACGTTTGGGATTGGGGGGGACAGAGGGGCAGCTGCTGGTGTCAGGGACAGGGGGCTGAGGCCCCTGGCTGGGGTTCAGAGGAGGGCTGCAGTGCATAGGTGGGTAAGGCTGCAGGAATGAAGGTGCCCGGGCCACCCCCCCACTGCCATGGAGGCCCTTCACAGTGCTCTGACAAAAGCCATTTTGAGCCCCAAGATCAAGGTCTCCCCCTTGTCCATGGTTGTTGGGGTGCAGTGGGGGGCTAAGACACGGTGGTTGTGGCTGCCTGGTGTGGAAGGGATGGGGACCTCCACTTGTGCTCCTGGGGCACCTGGCGCACCAAAATCCCTCAGCCCCTGGGTTTTTCCAGGCTGGACTGAGCCCTTCTAGGTCAGGTTTTGGGGGACGTCCTCCCCCCAAGGCAGAAAGCAGGAGGCCAGCGCAGCCACAGCAACCCAGTTTTGGAGGACGTCCTCCCCCCAAGGCAGAAAGCAGGAGGCCAGCACAGCCACAGCAACCCAAGCCCACCAGTGCTGGAGCTACTCTCCAACTCCAAAGACGACGAGGAAATGCTCACTGGAAAAAAGAAAAAATCTTTATTATTCCTATGATGGGAATAACCACCACACTGCAGACAGAGGGGAGCAGCAGCTGCCTGGGGCCTGCAGTGATCCTCCCACTGCAGATGGCCACCATGGCCTGGGACACCAG